GCTTTACCAACCATCGCATTTGCGTTCGTCTGCCACCCATCAGTCCTGCCAATTTACAGTGAGCTGAAAGAGTAAGAGATTTGTTTCATTTCTACATCCCCTCACTAATAGGCAAGGACTCTATTAAAGTGAACAGACTGGTAAAATGAACCTCCAAGGATTCATCACCCAGCTTCAGTATTTACCAATATTTTGCTGTTCTCAAGCAATTACTGTATTTTAAGAAACAAGAAAGCAAGAAAAATCAGAAACCTGCAATAATTTTTGGCCATAAATATAAAAAGTGGCCAACCACGTGGGCTGCTTGGTTCATTTAATTTTTCAAACACTATATTACTTAGAAGAGTTCAGATATTTTTGTTGCTTTCTATTATTGTGCTGACAAGTGGATACTAATCTTCGGATTTATTTATAAACTGCTAAATAGACTGTCTCTGATTTGCCTGTTAGTTGGGTGGAAAATAAGACAATAAGAAAGGAATGTTAATACCACAAACTAGAAAAAAATTATATTGTTATTCATTATAAACTATTGAGATGATTCTACAGATTTGTTTCTGGTTCCTGTTTTCAAGAAATCTAAAAGCTTGTTTATAAGCTCACTTATGTCTTCTGTTTTTAACCTAGTGCTTATAACATATAGAAGTAGTCACAAAAGATATACAATATAACTGTTTCCATTTTGACAAAGGTAAAGTCGATGTCATTCAGCATTGGATTCACTCATGATTCTTCCTCTTTCATATTTAATTGACACATGGCTACATTTTGAATTATCTGCACCTATCTTAGGTGAATATCATTCCTGCTTTGTAGTCCTCTATTTAGGCAGTTTTTAAATATGTCTTTGGCATCTTTTAATCGTCCAGCTTGTAATTTATAATTTTGTCAAGTGTATACTTCTCCGTTTTTCTTGTTTTCCATATTCCAGTGACATCCCAGCTTGCTTGTTAGGGCACAATGAAGTGGTATCACTCTCTGTGGTCTGTATTGAGTACAAGTCTTGTAGATTTTGGGGGGCAGTTAAAGAATCTTAAAGGTCATCTCAGCCCCAGAGTAAACTTGACCTAAGGGATAGAGCGCTCCATTTATCACAGCTGTGATCTCCTGGGTACTTGTTGCTCTGGTGACACGCAGACTCCCAGGTGCATGCCTGGGGCTACTCCATGGGAGAACCAGAATCTAAACCGCAGCTTTCAGAGACAGAACCCCTGAGGTCACACTCCAGCTCTGCCACTGATCAATGGGGCTTGGAGAACAAGAATAGCACTTTCTTTTTTGTGTGTACCTTTTTCCTGTGCCCAGCCAGTGTGGAGATAATATCAACCATAACTACTTTAAAAAAAAAAAATACTATTTGCCCTTCTGATGAGAACTTGATATTCTTTTAAAAGAATGGGGAAGAACTATTCAAGGGAGTGTGTTCCAAGGATCTCTCCCTCACAATAACCAATCAGTATAGAGGAAGTTATTGAAAACTGGCATAGTTGCCAGGGGAAATTTCAGCTGGTCCGATCTGCCCTAACCTGATAAAAGAAAAGTTAGTATTTTTTAGTGTTAACCCTGATGTTTAAATTCAGCGAAATAATCTTTGCTTTTTCCAATTCCTTTATCTTTGTTTTTAGCCGATCACAGAAAAGAATGCAGATGGTTTCAAATATCTCCTTTTTTGCCATGTTTGTTATGTACTTCTTGACTGCCATCTTTGGCTACTTGACATTTTATGGTAAGTCATTTCTGCTGGTACATAAACATAAGTATTTTTTAATACTTTTAATAGCTTAGTAAAGATTAGTATTAAAGTAACCTTTAACATGGAAGCTAAAGAAAGCAACAAAGCCATCCATTGGTTTTGTTGGTTTTTTCCCTCTACTTGAAGCAAACAGTGATGGTCCCTTTATGTAATCTTACAGACTGCAGAATAGAATAATTACTGGAACAACATGCTGTAATGTTTTCTCCTAATAGTGCCCTTAAAAGAAATTGCGTTTTAGAAGTGAGCCACCTTAGTGGGGAAAGTTTAAAATTATACCGGAGAAGCCTTTCCTAATAGACACTGCAAATTGGGTCAGATTCCACTAATAGAAAAGAGAGACAGAGACAGATGTGGAAAGTGAAAAAGCACGCAGTGCCACACTCATGACACTCTGCGTTCATTAAAAATGAAATGCCTACTTGGTCCTACGTTGGAGCCTTGCAAAGACTTGAAGGAGAGATATAGAAATTTAAAAGTCATGAAATCTGAAGAGGGGAACACGGCTTTATTTGTAGCTTTTGCTGACCCCATGTGAACAGTTCAGCTGTTTTTGCTACATCTTCATCTTCTCCTATTCAAATTATCCTTTAGGTTTATTTAAAAGGTCTTTCATAATCATTGTAATTGGAACCTAATTTTAAAACACATATTTCAATAATATGTAATATAAACAATCTTCTCTGTCAAATAATACTTCTTTGGGGCCTTTTTTTTTTTTTTTCCCATAAACACAAATGTCTCAAAATATACACACATTTAGAGATTATTAATTCAGCCTGGAGAAAAAGGCGACAGTGATTATACAGTTAGTAGTATTACCATTTTCCCAAGTAATAGGGAATAACATTGTCTAATGGATTCATAAATAACATATTTAATTGTTTGCATAAGAATAGCGTTTCTAAGATTCATACAGAGTTGCAAGGCTAGTGTTAGGGAGAGGAAGGGAAAGAGGAAGAACCTAGTGTTGTTTGAACAGACACACTGTTACCATGGTCAGGCTATGATTTTTCTTTGTAAATCCATCTATTTTCACATATCCTAGAATACCAAACAATTTTATTACCCTTAGGTTAAAGGAAAAGGCTCAGCTATTTTTAAGTGGTTATGAATTTTGAATCAAGGAAATTAGAAGTAATGAGATTTTTATTATAACCTATGGTCCTTTCTCAGATACTGAAATTGAGCTCTATGGTACAGATTAGCGTTTGAATTCCACGCCCAGTGCCTTGAAGCTGGTGCTGTGAGAAGCCCTGGGAAGAGACGTAAGAGGAAATGATTTCTTACAAAGAGAGGGCATTTTATGCTCTCCATGCCTGCCCTGCTAGCCACGATAGTCTTTGAAGTAACACTTTCTGTAGTTCTGAGTTGAGAAAAGCTTCAAAGTAGTACATAAGTGAAATACTTTACTTATTTATTTTTTTTACAAGAAAAACATACAGAGGAGAGAAGAATTATTTCCCAATAGTGGTTAAATTCAGCTCACGCCTCTGTTGCGTGGGCATCAGAAGTTGGATTACAGGAGGAGAGATTGAAAGATGGTCCCTGTGACCTGCGACTGTTTGGTGTGGTTTGAAGAGTCACCTCAGTTGGAGGAAAAACTAGAATAAGGAGGGCCTTGTGCTTCCACCAGAGATTTCATTTTTAATCCCATTGTATGCCTAGGTTTAATTTAGCAAAAATGAAGCACTCTCGGTCTGTGTGGTTTCAACGCCTGGTAGCTGACGTTGCGCATGCCCAGTGGGGCGCGTCTCGTAAGCAGATACTCGTCCAACTTCATCGATTGTCTTATTGGGCACTTCAGCACATCGCTTTCCCTCCTTTCAGTTCAAAAATTCTTGATTGCTCAGAAAAACCGTCCTTCGGTGATGTACTATCTCCTTTCAAAAGCCTCTTGCTTTTTCCTTGTTCAGAAAACGTGCAGTCAGACCTCCTGCACAAGTACCAGAGTAAAGACGACATTCTCATCCTGACGGTGCGGCTGGCTGTCATTGTCGCGGTGATCCTCACTGTGCCGGTGTTGTTTTTCACGGTGAGTAAAGGCCTCGGTGCAATCTGAGAAAAGCCAAGGTCTCAGCTTTCCTCCTGCGGTCAGGAGCTCATGGCGGAGAGAGCTCACCCCGGGTAACGTGCCTGGGTTGCTGAAGCTGCATCCCGGGAGGAATCTCAAGGCCGAGGTCAAGCTCTTTGTTAAACAAGTGGCATCAGTGAGTCAGTGTACCCTCTGATGGAATGACTCTCCGTTTTAATTAACCGGTCTCTCTTCTCTCTTAAGAAATACAGGTAAAATATTCGGATCTCAGTCAGACAGGAGAAGATAGAAGGGCCAGAGGAGAACGCTCAATTTTTAGATAAAACAAAGAAATTACCCCTCCTCCCCCCCAGAAGCCTACTATTCATAAACAAAGATACTTTCCCTTTTAAGTCAAGCCCCCCTTCCAGAACTGTTAAGCTATGTATAAATTCACTAGACATTATAGAATATTTTACAAATTCCCATCAATTGATTTCTCTGCTGAGACAAGTGGAGTCAGCTGGCTAAGGTCCTTACACAGTCTGTTTTCTTTTCCTGCAGGTTCGTTCATCTTTATTTGAACTGGCTAAAAAAACCAAGTTTAATCTATGTCGGCATACTGTGGTTACCTTCATACTCTTGGTTATCATCAACTTGTTGGTGATCTTCATACCCTCCATGAAGGACATCTTCGGCGTTGTGGGTATGGCTTTATAACTTCCAATGTCCTTCTGGGGCAGTCGTTAGCTAAAATTTCACCGTGGCAACTCTAAACTGTATCTTTTTTTATTTTATAGGCGTTACGTCTGCTAATATGCTCATTTTCATTCTTCCTTCGTCTCTTTATTTAAAAATCACAAACCAAGATGGAGATAAGGGAACTCAAAGAATTTGGGTACGTCTCTTGCTAGCTACGCTAACTTTTCTGATTAGTTTTTCATTTAAATTTACCAAAGAAAGAGTCCATCTCTCTACCATCTGAGACTATTTTCAGTTGCCTTGAAGGAAAGCAGCAGCCCTTTTAGCTTTCCTGCTTAGGCTATTTCAAATATCACATCAAAATGTTCTCCATCCCTCAAAATATCTCTTCTGGTTTTACTCTTTTTTGTTCTGCTCCAGGGCACAGCCAGCCCGGAGAATGGACGTTCATCCTCCTGGGCTTTAGAGGGCCAGACTTTGTCTTTAGCAATCTGACATGGAGAGAGACTCAAAGATTTTATGCAGGGCACTGTTTCTGTATGATTCCTAGTCACATAGCTCCTCTCGACAGCCCAGGGAGTATGGGATGCCTCAGTGACAGTGTCTCAGTTAGCTTAAAGAGTCGTGTTATGATTTCACAGCAATGCTTTGGAGCAACAGACCTGGATTCAAAAACTACCTTTCTATATTGAGATTCTTGTTTCCAGGTCTGGTGAAGTTCAAGGGCATCTTGAACGTGGTGCAGTTGGAGACAGTGAGGGAAGCAGGGGCGAAGTGGCTGCTACCTGAGTCCCTTCTGGAGCACCATTTTGCTCGGCCTCGAAGAGGGCTTCTCAGCCTCCCCGCTAGTGTAAGCACCGCAACTGACCCTGTTACCTGAGTTGACAGACCCAGATGAGGGACCTTAGGCAGGAGGGATGGTCCTGTGCATTTCAGGGAAGCAGCATTGATGCCAGCAGAGCCTTCTGTTCCCCTAAGAGGCCCACTTCAGAAGCCACAAATCCAGAATCCCTCTGTGTCCTCCCTTCATGGGCTTCATGAGGACAGAGAAGAAGGAGCAGTCACTCTGGCACAGCAGAAAAATATACTCCAATTAAATATGAAAACGGAGTAGGCCTGTTGCCCATGAATCCTCTGGGACTCTCCAACACTGCTCCCATAATAAAACTGGTGGCAGTGTCCACCAAATGGCATTAGACAAGTGCTCTGTCATGTAGGGGCCACAGGGAGGTAGGCTGGCCCCGTGACCGTGCTATATCCTTCTCCTGGCAAACTCTCACTGGACGTGCTCATGGCCAAGTGTTTTACCATCTTATATTCTCTAAATTTGGTAGCCTTTACTAGCCCTTTAAGTGACTTGGTTTTTGACAGCCGTTTTCCAGTCTACTTTGCATGACTATTTTCTACTTTTCAAACAGAAATGTTTGCCTGCCAATGATAAGCTAGGTTGGCAGGTAGCCAATAAGAGGTGATCTGGATATTTTCCAAGGCCTGTTTTTGTTAATCGGTTGGTGGTTAGTTGGTTGTAATCTCTTAGAGAGGAGCTATAAGGACACACCATCATTTGCGGCGTGGTGGATACACTTGAGGTGACTGTGAACGCAGAGAACAAAACGTAGAGGACGCTTGGCTTGGCTTGTTTTTCTTCTTTTCCCACCCAGGCAGAATCAGATGTGCACGATTTTAGAAACGTTCTCATAGTTCAGCAATGGTTGTGACAAAATCCAAATATAAGGGGATATGAAAGGAGAGGGAAAACATTTTTTTCCCCCAGGTGTGTGTGGAAAACGTTGGCTGCACTGAGAGTAACCCATGCCTTTCTCTTGCTCCAGGCTGCCCTTTTCTTGTGTCTGGGTGTGCTGTTCTCCTTGGTCAGCATTCCCTTGGTCATCTATGACTGGGCCTGCTCATCGAATGGTAAAGAAGGCCATTGAGACCAACTGAGGAAAGACAACATTCCTGTCATCATCTACTCAGTCAAGTCTCCATACATCAGCCACTTCTCATCACTTCTTTTGCAAGTTTACAGAAGCAAACAGAAATTTTCACAATGCTTAAGATGGAGTAACACTTTGATCACAAAATAGAGACCTATGTCTATAATGGGTCATGTCCCTCCAAGATTTGGGATCAATTTAGAGATTGGAAATTTTTTTCTTCAAATTTCATTAAATTGTATTTTATAGTACTTTCCACAATCAATTATTTTTTTTTCACTCTCATCACTCTCTGTTTTGTGGTTTCACAGTCTCTTAGAACTTTGACAACATGACCATCAATTGTGTTTATTTATTATACATCCAGATTCTGAAATAATTTTCCTACTGATGTTCAGCTCACACTATCTATACCTTTTTAGAAGAGAAAAGAATCTTGAATTGTATATATTTATTTTGCTTTACAGAAAAAAAAATGGTTTCGTAAATAATTTGCCTATTTTGGTTAACATAGCACACAGGGATAATGATCTGAGAGTCGTAGGACACGTGGGATTGCAGCTCAGAGCATGCCCAATATTTGAGGTGGCTCTGATTGTCTGGCAGCTGGTGGCCTGGCTGGGACTATATCCCACTCCATACAAAGTCCTTCTCTAGCCAGTGTTCTCAGCTGGGAAGGGGGTGGGAATGATTCTTGCCATGGTACTTAAATTAAGCCACACATTTGGGCAACTGAAGTTTTGTTTCCCTCTTGGCGACTTGTTAAAGTTATTCCAGTCTAAGTCAGCTTTTGCTGGGGGAGACCCGTGGCATCTGCTGTGAAAGGATTGTCCAAAATGCCTGAGAAAATATTCCTCTGATGCAGATAGCCTTCAACCCCTCAACCTGTATTGTTGAAGGGAGAAAAAAGTGTTTTAGTAAATTATAAACCCAGCAGCCCTTGGTCATGCCCACTAGCTGTTTGCACAGAGAATAATGTGTACCTATTTAAGGCTGATCTGAGATAAGTAATTCCTGTTTTATATTGGGCACTTTAGGGACGTCTTTAAAAGACTTGTTTTATATCTATAAATCTAGGTTATTGAAAATACAAGATTTTTGTACCTTAAATAAGCCTCATTTCTATTTCTTCTCCATTAACTCTCCATCCAGAGTCTTGGGAAAAAAACCCAGAGATAGTCTTTGTGAAGAGCCTGTGACAGAATTAGCAGGTACCTTCCTTCCCCCACACGGGGAAAATAGGAGGGCCCCAGTGTCTGCGCTGTCTCCTCTTCTCATCCCCAACCAAGGGGCAGGCCACACCTGCCCGTCCCAGCTGGCCTGTGCAGGAGGACAGAGTTGCCTTGTGCTCTCATCTCTCCTAAAGGAAGCAGAAGGAAACTACAGAGACTGAAAGAGAAGAGAGTTGGGGACAGGGTCGCTGGGAAAGGAATGAGGGACATTCCCCTAAACTGAGCCCTCGCTCGTGATTGGATGTTCTGCAGCTTGCACACGGCAAGAAAAATGCATGTTCCGTGAGCTGGTTTCTTGAAGCAGGACTTGTGTTTTACCTACATTCTGGTTGAATTTTCCAAGCACATGAGTTCACCGAGCACAGATGTCTTATCTGGAGATAAGTAGCATCTAACCAAAGACTGTTGGCAGAGTTTTCAGGCACTTAGCTCTTTTTCTTCCCGACTCACATCCCAAGGGGACTTCGTTCTCACCAAGAATAACACGGAAATGACCCCTTCCTCTAAAGACTCATGTCCCACAGATATAACAGGCATTGAAAGTACCTGTTGTGATCCTCTTGGGGGAGAATGAAAGGTTATTTCCTGCATTGCATCATCGTAGAGCTTTTAATATGTGCATATAAAGTTACAGAATTGCATCCACATTAGGCCAGAGGTCAGGTATTTCGATATGAATACCTACCTAGTAAATTCCACAGCCATCTCTGTCCTTTTCAGAAGTGTTTTCCATATTACATGAGCAATGCTAGAAACCAAGCAGAACGAGATTCAGCGAAGCTTCAGAAGCTTGTCTAGACCACCAAGTAAGGAAATAGCCAGGTAGAGGGGTGACCCTACATTTAAAAATACATCATTTAGTTGAAAGCTATATCATGCTGCTTTGTAACGAATCATTTTACACTCATGAAGTCAACTTAGAAAATTATTAACTCTGGAATGTGCAGTGATATTTTGGGGGTCTCTGGGTTTTATGTATCAGTACAAGGGATTTTTTTATTATTTAAAATATATTTATTTAGAGGAAGCACATGGTTATAGATGTCTGTAAGATCACATATTTTTTAAAACCTTCTTTGTATGTTTATCTAAGTTGCTGACTGAATATAGTAGACCCTCCTGTAATTTGTCAAATATCCCGGATTACATCATTTGTGTGGGATTAGTTGTAAAGTGTACTGCTCTTATTCTTGTTCAGAATAGTGAACTGGTAGCCAAAAATACATGTATTACAGATGTTAGGTAGAATTTAAATAGCACAGTCAAGTGCTATAGAAATTTTTCTGCTAAATTAATAGACTAAAGAATACTATACCTTAGCCATGGGGAGTAGCACGTTTTCCTTTGGTAGATAGGATCTCTGTGCTAGTGAACAGTGGCAGTTTCATACTTTGGATTCTCTAGTTATTGTAACACAGAATACTGGCAATACTGTCCCTATTTTACTGTCTGTTACTTCCCAGAAGTGGGGGGTAGTGAAAAATGCACGGGAAGGGAACCTACTTTTGTTTAGGCGCCAACAGTCTCCAATTTTTATAAGGACGTCATGTTCTAAAATGTTGTAAGTTGGTTATTTGCAACCTGGAATGTGTTTTCCTTTAGAGGCCAGGTTATATGTGGTAGTTAGGGCCCCCAGACCATCTAGAAAAAAATTATAAAACCCATAGTTTAGCTGAAATAGAATAATGTAATAAGATTGCTAAAGAACCTAACGACCAGACATGCTGTTGTTTCTAGGGGATGTTTGTTGCCTGTTAGTAGAATCTGGACTTTCCATCTCAGCCGCATACCACCTGCTGGACGGTGGAGTAGTAGAGTTGTCACCAAATTAGAGGTGACCAGAGTGGCCTGAAGCAGGGTCTCCAGCAAAGGCAGGGAGGAGTAAGTCCAGGGCCACCAGAGCACCTGGTGGTGGGAGAGGGAGGAGGATGAGGAGGCCTCTGTGGACTGCCAGGCAGAGTCTTTGGCCGGTACCTTTTCTTTCCTCTGGAGGTCTCAGGCCTGGCCTGCCTGCCCTACTCATATGACCTTTAGTTCCTCCAGCTCATCTCCTTCCCTGCCGCTACAGAAAGCCTTTGCTGCATAGCTTCTCCCACATGCCAGTGGAGGCCAGCACACAGCACTGCGAAGGGTTTAGTGCTGGTAACCACAGTTTAGCTGCCCAGTAACCAGATGGGGAGCAGAAAGAGTCTCTGCCCACCTTCCTTTTTTGCATTTACAGACCTTGCTGAGAAAAACAAGGGCTCAGATGGGCGATGGTGGTGGTCACGGAACTGTGGTAAGAGTCCCCAGTGTTTCAGAGGGCACCTCCGACTCTAGGACTGACTTCTTTGTGGAGTGGGACTGGAGCCTCTGAGACAGCTGGTTGGCACAGTGTGGTGTCCAGACGCACAGCCTCTGGGTAAGAATGCTAATTCTCAGGTCCCACCCCAGACAGTGAAATCAGAAGCTGTGAGGGTGGGGCTCCAGTGACCTGCATTTTAATGAGACCTCCAGGTGATCCTGACCCACTGCGAGTTGGGGACCCACTCCAAGCCTAGTGGTCTCTCTCTTTCTCTCCCCATTAGTCCTACCTCACCAGATGGTTCCCAGGATTCACGAGGTGAGAAATGGGAGCCAGGACTCAGGGCGGAAAGGAAAGGGCCTTGGCAGTCGGGCCCTTGCAATGGCAGAAAGTGCGGGGGCTCCGGTGCGGTCACCTGCTTGCTCCTCCCCCTCCCCCTGGAAAGGCCAGCGCAGGTGCACAGTCGAAAACGCAGTCTGCCCACACTCGGGTGTTACTTTGGGTTGAGGTAAAATAATACTGTAGCTTTTAAAGCTACAGAGAAATAAAAGGGAGGCTTTTTTTTTTTTTTTTGGCTGGGAGAAGTTAAAAGAAAATACCCTTTGTAAGGGCAACCTTTGCGGCAACACTGAACCCAAGTCAGGAGTGAGTTCCCAGAATGTCTGAGTTCCTCATGTGACAATAATCCTGTCCTTTTAATGTGATTTCTCTGCTGACTTGCTGACTGGTCTATCTTGCTTGAGGAGCAGCAGAGTGCTCTGAAAGGAATGAGGACCTCAGCTCCCTTTCTGGGGTGGGCATGAGGCTGGATGGGCACCTTTAGTTGGAGTGGGGAGATCAGCAGAGATGCGATCACACACTTAACGTTATACCTTAGAGCAAAACCTGTTAGTCTCTCTCAGTTTATCAATTGTATCAGGCGAGAGGCTTGGAAAGGGGACAATCTTTAAGAATACAATTCCCCTATTCAAGTTCACAATGTAAGCGTTTAGCCACTTTCAAAACAAAGAAGAGATGGATTCTTACCATTTAGTAATACTGATGATTTTCCTTAGGGAAGGAAGGCAGAGCTGAGAATCCTTTAGCGGACTAACATACTTCCTCTAAAACACAGTGAATTATTCATAACTATATAAGGCTTTGGGGTACAAACTGGGGGTGGGATGGCTAACAACTGAAAAATACCACTAAATTTAAAAAATTCTTGAAAAATATGTAAAATTCACAAGGCATAGTGAAAACATTCTCTTTGGGGTTTTCTCTGAAGAAGGGCTATGAAACTGCGTCCATCTGTATACAAGTTCAAGTTTATGTTTGTAAAGGAAGAATCTATGCAGCTGAGGCTTATTGTAGGAAATACTCATTTGTATGTAAATATATGTAAATAAATAGGAGGCTGTATATTTTTGCAGTTGTTGACCCACACTGAAATAGGAGTCTCTAGTATCCGCATATAAAGAATAAATGTTCCATAGATATTAGTGGTTTTGTTTGGCAATTAGAAAAATCTTCATTCTCTCCCAGGTAATATAGTTCTCTCAGTATAAACTTGGAACATAAAACATTACTGACTTGTTTAGAAAAAGAAATGTCTGAGAAATAGCTGTGTTGGTTTCTTATGCTGGTGTTAAGATCAATTATTTAAAAGGTAGTCCTATGAGCTACAAGTAAGGAATTTTTAGACCCAAATCATTGTCATATAGAAACAGATATACCCCAAAAGACAAATTGTTTCTTTATAATGCTCTTTTGCT